TGGGAAGGGGCGTACATCAACTGGGTTGAAATCAGAAGAGTAATCAGGTGTTTCCCAGCCACAGCCTGATACATGTGGGGAGGTACCCTGTGAAGTGCTGGAGAGATGGCATGGAAGGCAGTTGGAGAGATGGCCTGGGAGGCAGCTGGGGAGGGCCTGGGAGGCAGCTGGAGAGGTGGCCTGGGAGGCAGCTGGAGAGGTGGCCTGGGAGGTCGCTGGAGAGGTGGCCTGGGAGGCAGCTGCAGAAGTGTCCTGGGAGGCAGCTGGAGAGGTGGCCTGGAAGGCAGCTGGAGATGTGGCCTGGAAGGCAGCTGGAGAGGTGGACTGGGAGGCAGCTGGAGAGATGGCCTGTTAGGCAGCTGGAGAGGTGGGCTGCATAGCAGTGGGCATAAATGAGCTGCCCACAAGAGATACTCTGACATCTTCTGCTCCTGCTCATCCATGAAGACCATATTTCCACTACGGTAGCCAACATGAGAAAGCTCTCTCCACCCCTTCTCCAGTAGCTTCTTTCTCTCTTTGCAGAATCTGTACAGCGTCACATGACATACAACTTTGCAACCGATCTGATTGACTTCCCCTGCTCTGCTACATCATTTGAAGCTCTTTTCAAAGTGTGGAGAGGTACTCCCCTGTCTGTCTTTCTTTTCTACGATCTAGGCATGCTGAAAGTTTAAGAAAACATGTACCAAAAACGTTCAGTTTTACTCGGGTTAGTTGTAACATTTTCTCACAAGTTGTTACAACTAACCCTGACCCTTGCAGCCATTAGCTAGCTTCCATTTTAGCAAAATGTTACAACTTTAGCATTACTAACTTGAATCAAATATCTCTACACAGACTGGTTATACACCTGATATAGGTTTGGTGAATGGAACTACAAAGCAGTTGATGCCATCACAAAAACAAATTTGGTCAAAAATAATTAATTTCTTACCTCAAAATCACATTTCTGTCAATAGAATCTTCAGAGTTTATCACAGGGACTTGCTTTTTCACATAAGGGTTCAGGACTAAACTGGGCGTGTGCAGAGCGAATCAAATTAATTGCAAGTGTTACAACTATCCCGTGTTACAACCATCCCGTGTTACAACCATACCCGGTCTCCTCTACTTTAGCAATTAGCTTATTAGCTTCGGGACATTATACCAAGAGTGTGCAAAGCTGTCATCAAGGCGAAGGGTGGCTATTTGAAGAATCTCAAATATAAAATATATTTTGATTTGTTTAACACTTTTTTTGTTACTACATGATTCCATATGTGTTATTTCATAGTTTTGATTTCTTCACTAGTATTCTACAAAATAGAAAATAGTACAAATAAAGAAAAACCCTTGAATGAGTAGGTGTTCTAAAACTTTTGACCAGTAGTGTTCATACACATACATATATACACATATCCTTTTTTTAATGTATTTCCCTTTTTTACTTTCCAACCCCACCACCCATTCCCTAATTGGAGTAAACTAGTGAACAACAACGCTTAGGCCTCTACTTCCAGCTTATACATACTATATACAGTGGGGGAAAAAAGTATTTAGTCAGCCACCAAATGTGCAAGTTCTCCCACTTAAAAAGATGAGAGAGGCCTGTAAGTTTCATCATATGTACACGTCAACTATGACAGACAAATTGAGAAAAAAAAATCCAGAAAATCACATTGTAGGATTTTTAATGAATTTATTTGCAAATTATGGTGGAAAATAAGTATTTGGTCACCTACAAACAAGCAAGATTTCTGGCTCTCACAGACCTGTAACTTCTTCTTTAAGAGGCTCCTCTGTCCTCCACTCGTTACCTGTATTAATGGCACCTGTTTGAACTTGTTATCAGTATAAAAGACACCTGTCCACAACCTCAAACAGTCACACTCCAAACTCCACTATGGCCAAGACCAAAGAGCTGTCAAAGGACACCAGAAACAAAATTGTAGACCTGCACCAGGCTGGGAAGACTGAATCTGCAATAGGTAAGCAGCTTGGTTTGAAGAAATCAACTGTGGGAGCAATTATTAGGAAATGGAAGACATAAAAAACCACTGATCATCTCCCTCGATCTGGGGCTCCACGCAAGATCTCACCCCGTGGGGTCAAAATGATCACAAGAACGGTGAGCAAAAATCCCAGAACCACATGGGGGGACCTAGTGAATGACCTGCAGAGAGCTGGGACCAAAGTAACAAAGCCTACCATCAGTAACACACTACGCCGCCAGGGACTCAAATCCTGCAGTGCAAGACGTGTCCCCCTGCTTAAGCCAGTACATGTCCAGGCCCGTCTGAAGTTTGCTAGAGTGCATTTGGATGATCCAGAAGAGGATTGGGAGAATGTCATATGGTCAGATGAAACCAAAATATAACTTTTTGAGTGAAAACCTCCTTCCATCAGCAAGGGCATTGAAGATGAAACGTGGCTGGGTCTTTCAGCATGACAATGATCCCAAACACACCGCCTGGGCAACGAAGGAGTGGCTTCGTAAGAAGCATTTCAAGGTCCTGGAGTGGCCTAGCCAGTCTCCAGATCTCAACCCCATAGAAAATCTTTGGAGGGAGTTGAAAGTCCGTGTTGCCCAGCGACAGCCCCAAAATATCACTGCTCTAGAGGAGATCTGCATGGAGGAATGGGCCAAAATACCAGCAACAGTGTGTGAAAACCTTGTGAAGACTTACAGAAAATGTTTGACCTGTGTCATTGCCAACAAAGGGTATATAACAAAGTATTGAGAAACTTTTGTTATTGACCAAATACTTATTTTCCACCATAATTTGCAAATAAATTCATTAAAAATACTACAATGTGATTTTCTGGATTTTTTTATTCTCATTTTGTCTGTCATAGTTGGCGTGTACCTATGATGAAAATTACAGGCCTCTCTCATCTTTTTAAGTGGGAGAACTTGCACAATTGGTGGCTGACTAAATACTTTTTTCCCCCACTGTACATTTCATGGACACAGTCAATTTTACAATAATTATATTTTGTTTGTTTTTACTCCTGAACTTCCTCTACCCTCAACCTCTCTGATCATTTTCATGACGTCCATCCGGTTTGCTTCTATATGCCATATATTTTTAACTGTGCTCTTTCACAAAAGCTCTCAACGTATAACCTATATACTTATTATGGACACAGTATGCTTTACATTAGTTATCTTGTTGTTATTAGTTGTTGTTAGTTGTTATTAGTCCCATCCTTCAGCTCCATTCAACCATCCATCTCTTAACACCATCCATATTGGACATTCAACTTTTAACTGATTGGCCGTCATTGGTTGATGGGCTTCTCGTTGTATTCAAAATTGGCCCTATGGGCAATCAGAAAGAAGTTGGCTGGTCTCTGCACAGAGAAGTGGAAAAATGTATTCATATAGTTGCAAATTTTTTGAATGGAACCAATATATCGATATCGTATCAGAAGAAATGTATACTGATATCGATTTTCCATATCAATGCCCATCACTTCTTCATTTTTTCCTTCATATAAGACAGCTATTCTTAGATCATTACCATTGTCATAATAATAGCCTTTATTTACTTCCTCAAAGACATGGTTTGTAGACGTGCACATTCTGTGTGTCATCAATGGTTGTGTGCACACGTATGCGCATACATATGGTTGTGTGTCATTGGAAAAATAATCTTGTATGTTTGTTGTTTTGACGTTTCCTTGGGAAACTCAGACTGATGAAAACACAATCAATTTATCACACTTATTATGTAATACATTTCATTATGTCTTACAATCAATGACAATTGATACATCAAACAGGTCCAGGGGTGTAATCATTACAAGAGCGTTACTATTGGACAGGTTCAGCAAACAGGGAGGGTCCTGGAAACAATAGTTTTCGTTGTAAAACAGAAGATTTTGTAACTGTAGTAATGATTGCACCCCTGGTATGTGTGTCTCCGTGTACTGCTAGATTAGGATTTCAGTCATGACATGGGAGAGGCCTCATTCATTGTTCTTCAAAAGATGAGTCACAGGACACACCTCAGTACACTATTTTCTACAAGGTGACGTAAACACAAATTTTCCTTTACATCTCATTCATCATAATGATGTCATCGAAGTTGTTCTTTAAACTATAAAGGCTGTAGCAATGCAGGAGTTTAGTAGAGTTTGGAGGTGCACCATTACTGAATACTGAGCTTTCAGAGGATTTCAGCTACAACATAATTTTTGGGGTAATTGTGGTTTTGAATTATTGTGTTACATATCATATTTTTTATTATGATCAGAGTTGTGTGTATTTGTAAAAGTGAACTTTTAGCTGACAAATTGGTTAATCTTAATTGACAAGGCTATAACTGTTAAACTTCCTCTGTTCCTTGACCACGGTCAGCCATGGTTCAGAATAATCTCAATAACTCCTTAAACCTAGAGTGTTTTGACCTGATAGAGGAATTCAAGGTTATAGTTGCAAACTTGCTGCAAGAGTTGTGGAACTCTTTCAACTCAATGACTACATGTGATTTATGATGATGGTGGGTAATTATTGTAATTTATATTCATGTTTTCGCTGTGCTGTGTATGTGTTATGGTAAATGTGTAAAAACAGGACATCTAAAGATTCCATTCTCATTGGTAAATCTACAGATTTACTGTAGCAGGAAATGTATACATTTACAGTTTTTACACATTTACACTAACATATGCACTGTACTGTATCTTTCCGGGTTTTTTTTTAGCTTCCCTCTTAGCCAGATCTCCATCATAAAAGATCCCTTCTGATCTTAACGGTACTTCCTGGATAAATAAAAAATGGTTAAAATAAAACTTTTAAAATACTTGTGATCCCCTTCCATAACATTTTACAACAGTGCAATATCAGACAAAAATACTGGTGGCATTTACGATTAATGATCACCTTCCACAATATTCCAGTTCATATTACATTTGTCAATGTCATTCTGTTTGTAATTATCTGTCTTTTACCTTAACATGAATCATGTGTCCCAATCTCTGTGATTACAGATTAAAAGGAAACAGTTTCAAAGATGAACAGAAACATTCTCACAGTCCTTCTTCTGGTTGTTGGTAAGTTAATCCCCTAGTATTTAAATTGTAGATCATTTTGAATTGCAAAAATGTATTCTAAAATCTATGCTTTAATTTTCAACAGCATCAGGGAATGCCCAAAGCCCAACAACTAATGTCCCCACTACAAATACAGCTGCTGCAACCACAACCACAGCTGTCGCAACAACCACAGCTGACACCACAACCACCAGACCTGGCATAACAACTACCACAGTTGCTGCCACAACGACCACAGCTGCTTTGACTACAACCACAGCTGTACCAACTACAACTACAGCTGCTACAACTACAACTACTGCAGCAGCCACAACAACAACAGCTGCTGCCATGACATCCACAGCTGCTCAGACTACAACCAAAGCTGTTGCCACAACAACCACAGATGCTGCCACAACAACCACAGATGCTGCCGCAACAACCACAGCTGCTCAAACTAAAACCATAGCAGATGCAACCATGACAACAGCTGTTGCCATGACAACCACAGCTGCTCCAACTACAACCACCGGAGCAGCCACCACAATGACAGCAGCTGCCACAACAACCACAGCTGCTGCCACAACAACCACAGCTGCTCCAACTACAACCACAGCAGACACACCCACAACCACAGCTGCTGCCACCACAACCACAGCTGCCACCACAACCACCACAGCTGGCATAACAACTACCACAGTTGCTGCCACAACGACCACAGCTGTACCAACCACAACTACAGCTGCAGCCATGACAACCACAGCTGCTCCAACTACAACTACTGCAGCAGCCACGACAACCACAGCTGCTGCCACAACAACCACAGCTGCTTCCACTACATCCACAGCTGCTGCTACGACAATCACAGCTGCTTCCACTACAACCACAATGACAGCTTATCCAATGACAACGACAGCTGCTGATACTACAAACACAGCTGCTGCCACAACAACCACAGGTGCTACAACTACAAAAACAGCAGACGCAACCACAACCACAGCTTCTCTTAGAACAACCACAGCTTCTCCAACTATAACCACAGCTGTTCCTACGACAACCACAGCTGCTGCCACCACAACCACAGCTTCCGCCATGAACAACACAGCTGGCATCATGACTACCACAGTTTCTCCCACAACAACCACAGCTGCTCCAACTACAACCACAACTGTTTCCATGACGAGCACCACAGCTTCTACCACGACAACCACAGCTGTTCCTACTACAACCTCTGCAGATGCTACCACAACCACATCTGCTCCAACTACAACCACACCTACTGTCACAACAACAACAGCTTCTCCAACCACAGCTGCTTCCTCTACAACCACAGCTGCTACCAAAACAACCATAGCTGCTGCCACAACAACCACAGCGTCTCCAACTACAACCACAGCTGCTGCCACGACAACCACGGCTTCACCAACTACAACCACAGCTGCTTCCTCTACAACCACAGCTGCTGCAACAACCATAGCTGCTGCAACAACAACCACAGCTTCTCCAACTACAACCACAGCATACGTAACCACAACCACAGCTGCTGCCCCGACAAACACAGCTGCTCCAACTTCAACCACAAATGCCCCCATAACAACCACAGCTGCTGCCACCAAAACCATGGCTGCTGCCACGGCCACCACAGATGGCATCACGACTACCACACTTGCTCCCAAAACTACCACAGCTGCCACCACCACCACCGCTGTTGCCACAATCACCACAGATGCTGCAACCACAACCACAGCTGTCGCAACAACCACAGCTGACACCACAACCACCAGACCTGGCATAACAACTACCACAGTTGCTGCCACAACGACCACAGCTGCTTTGACTACAACCACAGCTGTACCAACTACAACTACAGCTGCTACAACTACAACTACTGCAGCAGCCATGACAACAACAGCTGCTGCCATGACATCCACAGCTGCTCAGACTACAACCAAAGCTGCTGCCACAGCAACCACAGATGCTGCCACAACAACCACAGATGCTGCCGCAACAACCACAGCTGCTCCAACTAAAACCACAGCAGATGCAACCATGACAACAGCTGCTGCCATGACAACCACAGCTGTTCAAACTACAACCACCGGAGTAGCCACCACAACGACAGCAGCTGCCACAACAACCACAGCTGCTGCCACAACAACCACAGCTGCTCCAACTACAACCACAGCAGACACACCCACAACCACAGCTGCAGCCACGACAACCATAGCTTCTCCAACTACAACAACTGCAGCAGCCACGACATCCACAGCTGCTGCCACAACAACCACAGCTGCATCCACTACATCCACAGCTGCTGCTACGACAATCACAGCTGCTTCTGCTACAACCACAACGACAGCTTATCCAATGACAACGACAGCTGCTGATACTACAAACACAGCTGCTGCCACAACCACAGCTTCTCTTAGAACAACCACAGCTTCTCCAACTATAACCCCAGCTGTTCCTATGACAACCACAGCTGCTGCCACCACAACCACAGCTTCCGCCATGAACAACACAGCTGGCATCATGACTACCACAGTTTCTCCCACAACAACCACAGCTACCCCAACTACAACCACAACTGTTTCCATGACGAGCACCACAGCTTCTACCACAACAACCACAGCTGTTCCTACTACAATCACTGCAGATGCTACCACAACCACAGCTGCTCCAACTACAACCACATCTACTGTCACAACAACAACAGCTTCTCCAACCACAGCTGCTTCCTCTACAACCACAGCTGCTACCACAACAACCACAGCTTCTCCAACTACAACCACAGCTGCTACCATGACAACCACGGCTTCCTCTACAACCACAGCTGCTTCCTCTACAACCACAGCTGCTGCAACAACCATAGCTGCTGCCACAACAACCACAGCTTCTCCAACTACAACCACAGCATACGTAACCACAAACACAGCTGCTCCAACTTCATCCACAAATGCCCCCATAACAACTACAGCTGCTGCCACGGCCACCACAGCTGGCATCACTACTACCACACTTTCTCCCACAAGTACCACAGCTGCCACCACCACAATGGCCACAGCTGCTTCGACTACAACCACAGCTTCTGCGATGACAACCACAGCGAAACCAACTTCAACCACAGCTGCTTTCACAACCACCACAGCTGCTCCTACAACAACCACAGTCGCACAAACGACAACTAAAATTACTCCCACAACCAACACAGCCGCTGCAACTACAACAATAGATTCAACAGCTGCACCAACAGCGGATGAGGGGTCACTGGGATTAGGATTCAGAATGATCCGTACATTCCTAAGTGACTATTCTGACTCTTCTACAACAGCATATCAGGAACTGGCAGCAAATGTTACCACAGAGGTAATCAGCGTGTCTTTGAACAACATTCTGACTTCACTGCTGAAATTATTGATTGAAATTATTGATAATAATATTTTTTTTTTTCACAGGTTAATCGTGGTTACAAAATAATTTACCCTTTAACGTACCTAAGGTGTAGGATTATGAAATTCGCGTAAGTACAATTAATTGTTTTCTGTAAATCTGAGAATGTCTCCATTCAAATAGAATGATCTAGAAATAACAGTGATACAGTGATATAACAAGTTTGAATTATACATAAAGAACACTTCATAATATTTACTCTACACATTGATTTGTTTTCATAATACTTTTTTGGAAACAACTGTTTAAGCATCTGACCTGAAAAGAAAAACTAAATATGTATATATTTCTTTGTTTACAGGAGTGGCTCCATTATTGTCAACATTACCCTTATTTTCAAGAACCAGACAGTGGTTCCCAATGCAACGAGTGCAGAGCAGGGATTGACTGACTCTCTGTCTCATGGGAACACCTTCCTCAACATTGATCCAACCTCCATTACTGCAAGTAAGTAATGCCATCATTGATGACCTTGTCATTGTCATCACTTTCAACATTGACACATGGCACTCTGGTATTGGTATAATTTTTATGAGTTAACTTCTGTGGTCTTACAGGGACAACAACTACAACTGCCACAACTACCACAGCCGCCACAACAACCACAGCCGCCCCAACAACAACAGCTGGTCCTACAACAAACACAGCTTCTTCAGCAACATCTGTTGTTGCATCAACAACAACCACAGCTTCTGCCTCCAGTGGAATAAGCTACAAGACAAGTCTATTCACAATCTATCTGGTTGTATTGTCACAACTGCTTCACTAATACTGATAGACTGATCACCACAGTGACAGGGCAACTTACCAGACAATCTATTCATATTTATTATTATCATATAATTGTATCGTATTCGTTGTTATTTATTATCCAAAAATGTACAGGGAAACATTAATTGCTATAGACAACATGAGAGCATTGAACAGCTTGAGGACAATGTAAAAAACAACAGCTGTACTGCAATTATCAACACAAGTCTGTGAATCTGGGTAAATATCCTTGTACTTACTGCACTACCTTGATTTTTAACTTTGTTTTATGTAATATTTATTGTAACTGAATGGTGTATTTATATTGTTTTGTAATTCAGTATTACCCATACTTTGAATGAATGAAGAAAATGCTGGTTTCATTTTCTGTAACGGATTAATTAAGAAATTAAATGAAATGCAATCCATGATCTGAAAAGACATTCACATCCCTTTAAAGTTACCAACATAAAAATAAAATTAAAAAAATCTAACAAATATTATTGTGTGTCATCTGAATCTACAGTATGTCATGCCTTGTTCACATAGTACTTAATTTCTATGAAAAAAGGGTTCCAAAAGGGTTATACAGTTGTCCCCATAGGAGAACATATTTTGGTTCAAGGTAGAACTCTTTTTGGTTCCAGATAGAACTATTTTGGGTTCCATGTAGAATCTTCTGTGGAAAGTGTTCTACCTGGAAGCAAAAGGGTTCTTCAAAGGGTTCTCCTATGTGGAACCCTTTTAGGTTATAGACAGCAACTTTCTAAGAGTTTACGAATTAGATTTTTTGAGCAACCTGTGATGGAAATGTTTTTGTGTATTTGACTGCTCAGAGGAAACCACACTATCACTCATAAGCAAATTGGCAGTATGCCCAGAACTATTGCTCTGAGAACTAGAAGGAGTGATACAAAAATCAGTTTCAAGGTAAGAAGCCTGGTGTGGTATCAGTCAGTCACATACTGGAACCAACCATGCTGTGCTGACGTTGCTTCCAGAGGCAGGTTGGAACTCGGTAGTGAATGTTGCAACCGAGGAAAGACGATATGTACACGCTGCGCACTTCCGCACTCGGCGGTCCCGTTCTATGAGGTTGTGTGGCCTAACACTTTGCGGCTGAGCCGTTTTTGCTACTGGACATTTCCACTTCACAATAACAGCACTTACAGTTGACCTGGGCAGCTCTAGCAGGGCAGAAATTTGACGAACTGACTTGTTGGAAAGGTGGCATCCTATGATGGTGCCACGTTATGAGTCACTGTGTCAGTGCCAATAGGCTGCCTAAGTATGATCAGAGACAACGAGCGACAGCTGCCTCTGATTGGGAACCACACCGGCCAACATAGATCTACACATACTAGAAAGAAAACATAGAACTACTAACATAGAAACATTCACACCCTGACGCAACATATAAGAGTCCCCTGAGTCAGGGCGTGACAGTACCCCCCCCCCCCCAAAGGTGCGGACTCCGACCGCACCAACTTTAAATAACAGGGTAGGGGCCGGGTGGGCATTCCACCTCGGAGGCGGATCCGGCTCCGGGCGTGACAACCACATACTCTCCACCTCCCTGTTGCGCCCCTGGTCTGGTCTGGACCTCGGCGCGCTGCTTCCCCTCTCCTTCCTCCCACGATGTACCAAGCCCTGTCTGGACCCTGGTGTGGGAGACCCCGTACCTGGAGAGGGGCTGACATCTGGGTCTGGACTGGAGCCGCTGACCGGAGCTGGACCAGCCCCGGTGGAGCGGACTACCTAGGCTCCGGACTGGAGCTGCTGACCGGAGCTGGACTGGACCACGGTGGAGCGGACTGCCCTGGTTCCGGAGTGGCTCCGCTGACTAGAGCTGGACTGGGCACCGGTGGAGCAGACTGCTCTGGCACCGGAGTGGAGCTGCTGACCGGAGCTGGACTGGACCGCGGTGGAGCGGACTACTCTGGCTCCGGAGTGGAGCAGCTGACGGACTGCTCTGGCTCCGGAATGGGGCAGCTGACCGGAGCTGGACAGGACCCCGGTGGAGCGGACTGCTCTGGCTCCGGAGTGGAGCAGCTGACCGGAGCTGGATCAGGCAGTACTGGGAACACGCACCACTGGCTTGGTGCGAGGAGCAGGAACGGGCCGGACCAGATTGGCGACAAGCACCACTGGCTTGGTGCAAGGAGCAGGAACAGGCCGGGCTGGACTGGCGACACGCACTACTGGCTTGGTGCGAGGTGCAGGAACAGGTCGGGCCGGACTGGGAACACGCACCACTGGCTTGGTGCGGGGAACAGGAATGGGCCGGGCCGAACTGGGAACACGCACCACTGCCCTGGTGCGAGGAGCAGGAACATGCCGGGCCGGACTGGGAACACGCACCACTGGCTTGGTGCGAGGAGCAGGAACAGGTCGGGCCGGACTGTGGAGGCGGACTGGAGGTCTGGAGCGGAGAGCTGGCACAACCCGTCCTGGCTGGATGCCCATCTTCGCACGGCACGTGCGTGGTGCTAGCACAGGACGTACAGGACTGTGTCGGCGCACTGGCGACACAGTACGTAGCTCCGCATAACACGGAGCCTGCCCAGTCACAGGCTTCCTCGCGTGAGTACGGGGAGTTGGCTCTGTTCTAACACTAGGCTCCGTCAACCACCCTTTTAGCCCCCCCAAACATTTTCTTGGGGCTGTCTCTCGGGCTTCTTCCTCCGCCGGCGCCTTCTGCATTGCCGTTGCTCCTCTCTATACCGGGCCTCCACTGTCTCCTCCCAAGGACGCCGATCCATCGCAGCCTGAATCTCCTCCCAAATCCAGGATCCCTTACCGTCCAGGATCTCCTCCCAGGTCCAGGCTGTCTGCTCCTGGGCACGCTGTTTGGTCCATGTTTGGTGGGATCTTCTGTCACGTTCGTTCAAGGACGGGTCAGACCAAGGCGCAGCGTGATATGCGTACATGTTTATTTAACTTATAAACACACAACAAAACAACAAACGAAACGAAACGTGAACTCCAAAGGTTGAACAGACAACAAACCTTACACGGAACAAGATCCCACAACTAAACAGTGCCAATAGGCTGCCTAAGTATGATCCCCAATCAGAGACAACGAGCGACAGCTGCCTCTGATTGGGAACCACACCGGCCAACATAGATCTACACATACCAGAAAGAAAACATAGAACTACTAACATAGAAACATTCACACCCTGCCTCAACATACAGTGGGGGAAAAAAGTATTTATTCACCCACCAATTGTGCAAGTTCTCCCACTTAAAAAGATGAGAGAGGCCTGTAATTTTCATCATAGGTACACGTCAACTATGACAGACAAATTGAGCATTTTTTTTCCAGAAAATCACATTGTAGGATTTATTTGCAAATTATGGTGGAAAATAAGTATTTGGTCACCTACAAACAAGCAAGATTTCTGGCTCTCACAGACCTGTAACTTCTTCTTTAAGAGGCTCCTCTGTCCTCCACTCGTTACCTGTATTAATAGCACCTGTTTGAACGTGTTATCAGTATATTAGACACCTGTGCACAACCTCAAACAGTCACACTCCAAACTCCACTATGGCCAAGACCAAAGAGCTGTCAAAGGACACCAGAAACAAAATTGTAGACCTGCACCTGGCTGGGAAGACTGAATCTGCAATAGGTAAGCAGCTTAGTTTGAAGAAATCAACTGTGGGAGCAATTATTAGGAATGATGAAACCAAAATATAACTTTTTGGTAAAAACTCAACTCGTCGTGTTTGGAGGACAAAGAATGCTGAGTTGCATCCAAAGAACACCATACCTACTGTGAAGCATGGGGGTGGAAACATCATGCTTTGGGGCTGATTTTCTGCAAAGGGACCAGGACGACCGATGAGTGTAAAGGAAAGAATGAATGGGGCCATGTATCGTGAGATTTTGAGTGAAAACCTCCTTCCATCAGCAAGGGCATTGAAGATGAAACATGGCTGGGTCTTTCAGCATGACAATGATCCCAAACACACCGCCCGGGCAACGAAGGAGTGGCTTCGTAAGAAGCATTTCAAGGTCCTGGAGTGGCCTAGCCAGTCTCCAGATCTCAACCCCCATAGAAAATCTTTGGAGGGAGTTGAAAGTCCGTGTTGCCCAGTGGCAGCCCCAAAACATCACTGCTCTAGAGGAGATCTGCATGGAGGAATGGGCCAAAATACCAGCAACAGTGTGTGAAAACCTTGTGAAGACTTACAGAAAACGTTTGACCTGTGTCATTGCAAACAAAGGGTATATAACAAAGTATTGAGAAACTTTTGTTATTGACCAAATACTTATTTTCCACCATAATTTGCAAATAAATTCATTAAAAATCCTACAATGTGATTTTCTTGATTTTTTTCTCTCAATTTGTCTGTCATAGAGTGCGTGTACCTATGATGAAAATGACAGGCCTCTCTCATCTTTTTAAGTGGGAGAACTTGCACAATTGGTGGCTGACTAAATACTTTTTTCCCCCACTGTATTTGCAAGGTAGAATTCAATGGCTATAGTTCGTTCTTCCATGTTCTATGTTTGAGCTGCTTTTGAAAGCAAAAATCAACTGGAAAACATTTTGACATTGTTGAATTCGATTTTTATAATGGCAAGCTAGGACTGATGGTTTAGTTAGCTAAACTAGCGAGTCTGTTTGGTTACCACAGCAACTACTGTAGCTATCTAGTAAACTTGCTAGCTACTTCAGTGGATGTT